ACATTTATTAGAACAAAGATCTTGTGTACAAATTGAGGAATTGTCTCAATTCTCGATAGTGATATCAGAGAGACATGTCGTTCAGAGTATTGGAACACAAGGAAGACATGTCAAGTGTTGAATACAACGTGAAATTTTTTTATGGAAGACCAAACACATCAGGTATGGACAACCAAATTCAAGCCTTGATAATTGCTTTTTCTTTAATTCGTAAATCCGCCAAGTCGTATTCATAATTTATCGTGCAAAATAACCTCATTATAGCATTTGTGATAAGAATTTTTCTAATTTTTTTTTAACTTTCAGATTTTGAAAAATCGACAAGCTCGTGAGTCAACTTAACTCGTGACAAGCCTAAGACACAAGTCAAACTGAGCCTCACTTTTGGTCAATGAACCATGTTTGACTCGTCTTGTGGGCTCGAAAGCCCAAGTTCATGTAGAAAATGAGTTGAGTCTAGAGTTTTAAAATGGATAAAATTTCAAAATTCTAAAAAATATAAAAACACGTAAATGTTTGAAGAAGTTAATGAAATCGAGTCCTTGTTTGTCTTCTATTATTTCAAAACTCTTTTTTTCTACATGTTCATCACATTTACATAAAATATTTTATAATTTTGGACTACACATTTTTTGAAAAAATACTATTTAAAAGAAGTTTTTTTTCCAAAAACACGACCAACAATGGGCTGAATTGATAAAATCGTAATATTTTAAGGGAATAGTTCACAAATCAAGTATTAACTTTGACAATTGCAAAAATCAGGTGTTAAGTTTCAAACTTGCAAAAATAAGGTATTTATTTATTAATTAAATATTTAATTCTAATATAATATAATTAACACACCTCACCCACACCTCCATCTCCACCACCCCTACTGCTCTGTCAACTATTCTGGCGACCGACGACTACTCCGGCGACTGTTCCCCGACCGCGCTTAATTCCGATGACTATTCCGGTGATCGTTCTGCCGTCGCTTAATTCTAGCGATTGCTTCGATTTCGACAATTGTTAAGGCACAATTATATGCGATTTGGTCACAAATATCTAATTAATTAGTTAAAAATTAATTTTAAGTCACAGTTTATTTGCAGGTCACAAATTTCCAAATTATTTGATCACATATTTTTTAATGGTCACATATAAAAAAATTTGTAGGTCACAATTAATTTGTTGGTCATAGATTTCAAAATTTATAGGTCACACAGTCACAGATTTTCAAATTAGTTGGTCACAGATTCGTTTACGATCACAGATTATATAATTTTTAAATTACAGATAACAAAATGGTTGGTCACAAATTAACCAACACCCCACTTCCACCTCCGATCATGATCCAACACCTTGACCGCACACAACATCGTGTCCAAGCCAACCATCGCCTCCATCACCATCATATCCAACATACCCCGTCAGATCTACTACCACCATACCACAACCATACCACCAACGAAGCCGCCACTACTAAATCCAACACCACTGCCAACCACCATCACAAAATCACCACATTGACAACAAAGAAGTTAAAACATTTTGGAGAGAGAAATGAGGGCAACAAAACAAAGGCGAACCAAATAATTGGTCACATACACCCAAACTCCCATCCCTCGATCTCGATCCACCACCAATACTTGGTCACAAATCGACCAAATAGTTGGTCACTGACACTCTTCGTCCCGTCGTCGTCGCCGCTGCGACCACCATCACCAACAATCTACAACATCACCACCTTACCACCAACCCGCCATCAATGTTTCAATCGCCGGTGAAGAGACCCACAACACACACACTATCACCACCACCGCATCAAACCCCACACTATCACCACTACCTCCACCACACCCTGACGCAAACACCACCACCACAAAAAAAAAAAAAAAGAATAACGGCAGCGTCGACTGAGAGACTGCCAAGCGCCGCTGCACAGTGAAGCGTGGAGGCGATCGTTATCTGAGTACAACAACCACAGTTGATCAGGCACAGAGAAGCCGCTCGCATCGACGATGAACAACCACCACCGCCGATCTATGCAGAGTCACTGTGCGCGGCTTCTCCGTGCATGAGAGCGTCTTCGTCGGCTGGCGATCGCTCACTGCAGCGCCGCTCGCAGGGAGACAGAGAGAGATAGAGACGAGAGAAAGAGAGAGGGGAAGAAGAGAGGGAGGACAGGATGCCGCTCCAGGAGTGATGGAGAGAGAGAGAGAGAGAGAGAGAGACGAGAGAAATGGAGAGGGGAAGATTAGTGAATTAGGATTTTAATATATTACCTAATTTTTACATATATAAATTTTAGACCTGATTTTTAAAAAGCAATCTTTAAACACCTGGTTTAGATCTTAATATTTTAACGTATAAGTATTGATCCTCAAGTCTAATCACTAATTCATTAGTTCGATCACTGAGCCAGTAACGCAATGAAGTCAATGTTCGTGTCAGGTCTAGACGGTAACATTGAAAGTTTTCATTCCACTTGCACTGGAATTAAAGAGTCAGCAAGATGAAAAACTAAGTTTGTTTGAGCTACATTCTCATTTTTCTACTCATTTTCAACAATACATTTTTTAATGAAATAATATTTTACATCACATCAATAACTTTTTCTTTCTTTTTCAACCATATATTCACCGTCATATCAAAAAAAAAATCATTCTCTAAAATAATGTGCATCTAACACAAATGCTTCATTTGGCAAAAGTTAAGGACTCGAGGAATGAGGAACCACAGTCAGTTTTGATGATAAATCTTTGTTCCATTGCCGTTGAATGTACTTTGATTTGGGTGGCTGGAGAACATGGCATGTGTCACCTCGTACACCCTCCCTGAATTGGTTCAATAATAAACCAAAAATGAAATAAGAAATCCCAATTGTCGATCCGCATTCAACAATATAACACTTGACTATGAAATTCTATGAGCCTGGAATATCTCCATTTTCTCCGGGGATAGGTTCCGAAGAATAGAGGGCCCCTCTCCTCCTTCCCTTTGTCTTTCGACTTTCAATATCTGTGGAGACTTCCATGCCTCATTCTTTCCCCGTTTTCATCCCTGGTACGCATTTATCTTCTCTTCTTTGGGCTTAATTTTTTCGGTTTGAATGTCTGTCTTTTTCTGTGATTGAGGAGTTGATGAATGATTGAATATGCAAGCAACGTGATAAGAATTTTCTTATTCATAATTTATAAATTCAAATTATCTTCCATTCAATTTAATCTAGCTGATGCAACTACTCAATTTGGGTCCTTTTGGCACACATCCAATGATGAAGGTACCCAACATTCAACAGGATTAACAGCTGTTCCCTTGTTTCTTTTATGTGAATTTGATTTCATCTATTATTGTCAGAGTAGAGGAAATTGCCTATATTTGGTTTTTGGTTTCTGGTTTTTGGCTTGATGGTGTAGTGAACATTCAGATCTTCTACCTTGTGGTGCTTTGTGTTTGAAAAAATGTCTGATTTTGTCCCAAGGGATGGAATATCAAAATTGTTGCTCAATCATGGTTGATGATGGCTAATTTTGTAACTCTAATGCTATTTGATAGAAACGTGGAACAATTTTGGTAAATGGTTGAGGCGAAGCCGGGGGTCTTCTGGAAATGATTCTGAGAAATCATTAGAAGTTGCTCAAAATAAAATCTCGGTTTATGAAATAGTAAAGCAATTATAATTAGGAGTTGCTCTTTCGAATATTAAGTAAAGAAAAACCGAATACCGTTTGGTTTAGAAATTCTGGAGGGGTGTAATGGTCCGAGAGCATTTTGTTATAGTTTGCCAGAATTATAAGAAAATTGCTTTTCTGTTCAAATACATTACCTTGCTACTTCTATATGATCTGTAACTTGGTTATTTTAGAAGCCGCATATTTTCTGAGGTCGAGCATTTGTAGTCGACTATCTATTGTTCACATGCTACATTAAAGTCTTCAAATTTCTTCACAAATGATTCTATATCTCTCTCTTGACGAGGTCAATGCTAATTGATAATGACACTCCAGTTCAATTTAAGCTTCATTCGCCTCAATTTCCATTAATTTTTTACCCTCAGATTGGTCGTATAGCTCCTCCTGATCAAAGGTCAGCTTTTGGAATTTTCGTTGTTGTCTATGATTGTACTTTGTAATTTCTCAACTCTTTACCGCTGCCATTAAGAATTTCAGTGGGGTAGTATACAACGAACACAATTGAACAAGATTGAGAAAGAAAAAGGAAGAGAGAGGAGAAAGAGAAGAAAGGAGAGATAATAGAGAGAAATTGGGGGAGAAAGTATTAATTTTTTTATTATCTATGTATTACAATGCATATACCTCCTTTATATAGGGTTTCAAAGAACCTATTCTAAGTAGGAAATATTTAATAAAATCCTTGATAAGATAACAAAGTACTAGAGAATCACAAAATTTAAGTAAGAAACAAATATTCAAATACCCGAGAATCTAACAAAATACTAGATAATCAATTAAAATATTAGAGAATATAAAATCTTAATTACGTATCCAATTTGAAAAGTCTTCTATATAATATATCTTCAAAGCCAATTTGATCCTCTTTCCCAGGGATTTCAGATGAGGGACCCTTGGGTGAGCTACCGACTCCAACTACCATCTTTTGAAGTGAAGTGCATTCGTGACCAACAAGCTCTAGTGGCTTTCTCGACCAATAACCTCCTTCCCATTTGAGGATCTTTTCTTTTTAGTTAGGAAAGAAAGAGAAACAAACATATCTTCATAGACCATAAAGCCAAATGAGTTTATCGGATGAAACCGGTTCTTAGATGGAGTTAGAAACCATAATTTACTTTGACTGTGTAAGTAGGTTCTGCGAATAACTATGATTTTTTTTTTTTAATGTTCGCATCAATTTTCATATTTCTTGGTAAATAGATTTTGTTAATACTGGCCACCCTAATTTTAGATGACATGAGAAGCATTTAGTGAATTACAAGGATGGCGGCCGTCAATTTCAAATACTGGAATGATTGTGTGGATCCACAAGACTTAGAGGCAATGTGGATGGATTCTGATGTGAAAGAAGAATGGCTTAATGTTGGAGAGACTATGGGATCAAAGGTCCACCTCTCACGTGATCCTGATGGTCAGCCTTACTTAACGCAAACTGAGATGAAGGTAAAGCGAATAAATTTCTAAGTTATATCACTGGCCCCGGCCCCTAATTTGAGTTCCTTGTTGGACATGAGGATCGAGAAATGAGAGTTCAGCATGGTCAATAATTCGAAGAGGTGGTATTGCAGTGAATTGCTTTATTATCGGCTTCTAGAAATTATGATTCTAAAGCAACTGTCAATTTCTCATCAATGTCAATTTAATTTTCTTTCTGTTGATGTTTTTTAAACATGTCCAGAAAATAATGCTCAATATGTATCATAGAGTTAGGCCCATAATCATCAACAGCTAGGCAACCTCCAAAAGTATGCATTTTTTTGGGCAATTAAATATAGTTTAAGATCAAGAATTTTGCTTTTGCAGGCTGTGGCGGGAATTATTGTTCGAAGGCATTTTGTCTCCCATATTGATTCGGTATGATATTCTACTTGTAGATTAGGTAGCACTTCTGAGATCACTTGGTGCTATTATTTTTATTTATTAGGTTTCTGATAGGAAGTTCTAAAAAAAAACTGAAGAAGATGTATTTGTTTTTCTGTATTATAGATTCAAAATGAAATATACAACTGTAAATGAAAACTAATGGAAAATACGATTCTCCATTTCCCTCTTCCTTACTCAATTCATTTCATACCTTCCTTCCCTACCCTTACATGTTTATTTATACCCTATCCCGACCAACTCTAACAAAATGACCGACGGCCCTTGACAATTTAATGACTCAGCATCATTCTAGCGACTATTACTGTGGCCTGCTGTCGAGTTGTTGGCTCCCTCCCATGTGCTTGCTTGGCCTTTTTTACGTCTTGTGTATGTAAATTTAATTGGGGGTTTATCAGTTTCTAGTTGACGTATCATTATCGCATTCAACAGGAGATGCTTTGTGCTATTGCTGAACTTGAAAGTGGTAGACAGCCTCTGGCCACACAGTACAACAAGAAATCTAAAGATTGTATGAAGGGAATCATGCAAATCTCACCAAAAACTGTGGAATGGCTGGTCAGGTACATATTTTTTCAAGTTCTGATGTTCATTGAGAAGATATGCCTCTTTTGAGGATTCCATTGGTTCATTTGTAGCTTGAAAAAATCGAGTTAATTGACCTTTCTGCAGAGATTTGTCTTACCAGACCTATGAAGTGGACGGGAATTCTAAGCTTCTGTACAAGCCTTTTGTAAATGTATATCTTGGTGCAGCCTATCTTAAATGGTTATCAAACTTTGAGCTAATGTAAGTTAATAATAACGTCTTTTTCCTTTCACGCTTTATGTGGCTGTCTACAATATAGCAATTCTGGGCTCACAATTTGACTAAAGATATATATTTGCAGAGAAAGAAGTGAAGAATTCATGGTGAGGGCTTATAAAGGAGGTACCAAGAAGGCTACTCACAAGTCAACTTTAAAATATTGGCAAAAATATCTCTCTGTCAAGGAAACTCTTCCAACCAGGTACCTGCTTTTATCCCATGATGATTATATTCCTAAGGTCTTTCCGTTGATGGGATTTAGCAATTAAGATATTCAGTCAAGCCAGCTACCTAACAAGGATTAGGCTTCTCTTCTCAAGGACAGTCCTCCCTTTTTCAACCCTTTGATGATAAAAGTTTTCTCCTTTAGCAGACGTGCACATGCACTGTGAACATAACTGTACCCACAAATTTTTGTATATCTTGCAATAGAATCCTAAAGTTTGATATACTCTGAACAAGGGTGTGTGTCAAAATAATCCTTTAGTGGGTCTGTGGATGTTTTCATGTTTAAACCTATAACGGGTCACTATTTCTGCAGGAAAGTCTTCGAAGTTGCTCTGGTGCCTAATGCTCCCTCAGCTTCTGCTACAGCTGTTTCTCCAAGGAAAGGTATCGCGCTTGTGATAAACTTCGTTTTTATTTAACATTCTTCTCCAAATTAGGTCTTGAATTTTAATATCTTAATCATATTAAAACAAATTTCTTAAAAGTATTAGGATAGTTCATTAGAGTTTTTGAGCATTCTTGATTTTAATGTAGAACTAACTCTGTAATTAACGTCAGTTAGGAAACTTTTGAATGTTAAAAAATTTAGCAACATAAAATATTTTACATGAATAGTAGTAGTACCTAGTTTGTTGTGCATTACTTGGTCTTGGTATGTTGAAAGATCTTAATTGTCAACATATGACACTTCGTTTTTTGTAATATAAGCTCTGATACTAGACGTTGAGAGCTCTTGGTTGGGCTGGGTTAGTGGCTTAGTCTTGTATTTGGTGACCATGAACAAAATGCCTCAACCTTCCTACTCCATGTCCTAATTCTATGGCAGAGTTTTCAGTTGTTTGAGAAAAATCAAAATGGGGTGTATTGTTTAATTTTAAGAGCTTATTCTATATAGTGTATATAACTATACATACGGACACTTCATTTACTTTCCAATTGTGAAGGAGCAAACCCTGCGAAAATAACTTGGGACTCGAGGACCTCCCCTGAAGACATGGAAGAGATGTGGAATAATGCTAATGTAAGCAAGGAATGGACCAAGTCAGGAGAGAAGCGGGGGAAAGTGAGATTGTCTCATGATACAGAAAAGAGACCTTATCTTTCTCGAACTGAACAAAGGGTGAGAATGCACATATTTTTTCCCCTTTTTTTACATAGAATTATGAATGTCAGTAATTACTTCTACTTTTAACTTTCTGGGTGAATTGAAACTAAGAATGAATCACCTTTCAAGAATCTGATGGCATATTCTGATTCTTGCAGGCAGTTGCTGAAATCATTCTAGCAAAACACTTCAGCACAAGAGTAGTAAAACCTGTCGGTAATCGATTTTTCTTACTGAGAGGCACATAAATGTCTCGTTCCCCCCCCCCCCCCCCCCCCCACACACACACACTCACACACACAAACACAATCACAAAAAAGAAAAAAAAAATCAAATAAAGAAAATATTGATTTAGATTGCTCTCATATAATGCAGACTGTTTTGTGTGCTATTGCTGAGATTGTTAGTATGCGTTTCGTGAATGGAGTTGGACAACGTACAGGACTAATGGGTATCGACTATCCCACAGCACGTTGGCTTTTCAAGTATGTTACTTAAAACTTATTTTTTCAACACTGGAGGCTCTTTTTTTTTAGCTGATCCTTCACCATCAATACAGTTATTCTGGCCATATATACATAGGCATGGCCGTATAATTTGCATTGGAAATTTTGTAAACCTGAAATTCATAAATGCCAAAGTGCTTCTTCTTCAACTGGACCCCCATCCCATATTTTAAGTAGCAAAAGATTCTTTTTCCATGAAGTTCTAATTATTGATGCTCTATTGGAGTTGCACTCTTTTCTGAAGGTTGAACTAATGCTTAATAAAGCTTCCTCAATTTGCTCGATATGATGTTTAGGGACTTGGGATACAAGAGTTACATTGTACAGTCAGTTGAAGATCTTACCAATCCTTTCGTTTCCATGTACTTTGGAGCAGCCTATATGGCTTGGTTATCGGAATATGAAGGAAGGTACACCTCTCACATTAGAGTACCCGAGCCTCAAAACTTTCTTTCTTTGTTTGCTAGATTCCGGATCTTTTCATTTTTATTTTTAAAACATCATCTCATTAAGAAATCCGATGCATTGGCAGGGAAAGATCTCCTCAGTTTGTTGTAGAGGCCTATATTTCTGGGCCACAGAATGTGAACCTACAAGAGACAGGTCCTCTCTGGCTTAAATTCGAGGAAGCACTAAGCCACTATGAAGATAGGAAGAAGTAAGTATCATCTACATTGTGAGTTAAAAACATTAGTGGTCGTTGAAACAAAATGAAGTTTAGTGACCACAGGTGCATTTAATCCTCAGCATTGTTCATTAACTCAGATGGATTCAATGTGCATGTTATAATTTATGACCTTATCTTTATAGGGAACAAAATAGCTGCCCCATATTGTGAGCTGGGGGGGATTCTCATCCCATATTCTGTGGATCCTGCAAGGTTATGTGGAAATTCCCGAGCTTTTTAATACAAGATAGAGGCAACTTGTTAAAAAGAAATAAATATAGTACATATTTTTTCATTGTATAATTTGTTGGAAGATGTAACTTTTGAGTACTTTGCTACTTATGGTCTTCCAAATAAAATCTTACTTATCTTGTGATTACAGTAATATAATCCGGCATTGAAATTATATTATGATCGAAAGATGGTAATAATTCCTTTTACTGCAATTAGTTTATCCTCCATTGCACAACCAATTTGTAAATGATTTATAAATTCAGTCAAAGTCAAACATTAATTTCAATCACGTTCACAGCTTATATTTATTTGTCATCCACACGTTTTGTGCGATCCACTATCCTTCCTCTTTATAAATTTGCCAAACGGAGACAAATTACTTATTCTTCTACTAGCAATATTGAAGATTTCTCAAAATACGCTAAATGACACTAGCATTTTGACCATGATAGAAAAATGTGTACTTTAATAGTCGCACTTGATTATTATGGGACTTCAATTCAAATGTGATTAATGGCTCGATTTTTGTGTGAACTTTTTTTCTCGCGAGACAAAATTAGAATAAAAAAGATGATATTAAACCTTGCAATTTTATGATCATGTTTAGCTAGCTAGAGTATGTTGATATAGACTATAATTAATTTAACAAGTAAACGATACAGATTTAGAATATTTAATAGATCAAATATATTTGCAAAATGCCAAAAAAAAAAAAAAAATTGTGACCGATCATTTGGCAACTTATCAAGTTATTGGCCGTCCATAGCCAAATTATTTGATTTTTTATATTTTAAGGTTTTTTTTTTTTTAATGTTCAAGCTGTCACCAGTGAAATCAACCATAAAATAAATATATTCATTGACTTTCGATATTATTATAAATTAATACCGACCATGTGTTCCAACCTCGACCTTCGGGTTGTATTGGGTAACTTGAGAGTTCATTAATCAGCACTTTGCAGGGACCAAATTCCAATTAATCTTGTTTACTTGCCTTAAAAGAAATATAATTATACAAATCATGTGAACGTAACTTCAAAATTAAATTTACATCATAATACAATGATACACACACACACATCATGTTGCATTTATACTCTTAGGACGTGTTTTGTGTTGACATATGATTGATTTCATCCTTAATATTTCGATTATAACAAATAAGATTAATATTATTTCTAACAACTGATTTTGAGTGATCATAGTTCAATGTTAAAATCAATCGAATATTGTCAAAATCAACACATTATAAATTGGACTTGAAATAAAGATCGTAGTGAAAGTTAAATATTCAAATCAAATCATTCGATACGAGAGTCTAAAAAATAAACGTTAAGAAAGATCGAGAATATGGGAGATGAGATCAAAGATTGATCAAGACGAGAAGTCTAAGAGACGGACTTTAAAACAAGATCAAAGGCTAGACTTCTTAAAACTGTACTAATATTTTGATATTTAGCAATAAATGATAAAAGCTCAAAAATCGTTTTATGCATGAAAATATTATGTAAAAAAAAAACTTGCATAAAAATTATTCTTCAAAAAGGTATTTCGACTTGATATTCAAACTCATTACAACACTTACATTGAAAAATAAAGCGAAAAATTTCTTCAAAAGCCTACATTTTTCAAAATAATCAAGAAAGAAAAATTTGAAAAAATTCTGTCTAAGCGGACGTTCGGTTCGTCTAACAGTTACTTTTTTGACCGTTCTGATTTCAGAAGCATAACGACTATTTTGTACATCTGGACGCACATGCGGACATCAGGTTGATTGTCCGATTTTACAGACCGTTTTATTTTTTGAACTCTATAAATACCCTTACTTTTACCATTCACAACAACAACTAGAATAGAGTTTTCTTTTGAAATATATTTGTAAAAATTCTTCTTTAAGCTTATAGTTTTACATTCATTTCATTTATTTTTCATAGCATAAACTTTGATTGTAAAATTAAACTTATCGAATCATTTATCTCATCAAAGATTTTCATATCTCTTTGAGCTTAACTTATTTATATCAATCATAAATATATTTTTGAAGAAAATTTTTGCACTTACATTGCATAAAATTTTCTACTTTTTCATATTAAAAACTTTGATTGATTGAATCAAACTTATAAAATCATCATATTTATCATTTCTCTCTCATTACTTAGTTTATTACAATCATTCATTAAAAGAGAGATATATCTTGAGAAAATTTTTGAACTTACATTGTATTTATTTTTTTATCTTCTCATTTAAAAACTTTGATGGAATCTAAAAATTATCATATTCATCAAAAGTTTTCATCTAACATTTGAGCTATCATTTATTACTATTCATTGAAGTGTTAGTCCTTCTTAGTGCTTAATTTGTTTGGATTATTTATTAAGAGATGAAATCCACTGCAAAATCACTTTGATAAAGTGTGAATCATGTTGAAATCTCGTAAAAATCAACATTGTATAACGATCGGTGCTCCTTGTTGTAAGTCACCGTGTAGGCCATATTGAAGTCTCGTAAGATTCAATAGTGTGTGTCATATTGAGGTCTCGTAAAAGCTCAATAATGTAGATTATATTAAGATCCCGTAAAACTCAATATTGTATAAGAATCGTTGCTCCTTGTTTGTAAGTCACCATAAGTGTTGTATATGATTGGATTACACCATAAGTTAAGCAATATAGTGAAAATGCATTACATGTGCCAAGGAATTTGGTAACGAAAGTCGTAAATCATTACATTGGATCGAACCTCTACAATTACATCATTTGCATCATCTCCCCCTTTTATTTATCTCTTCTATATTTGTACCTATTATTTGAGAATAATTCTCTGCGTACAGAAATCATACTGGGCACCTGTATGGTGCATTTTCTGCCATTGTTGTTTCAAAAATCAATGAAAAATTGTCAGTGTTATTCTGTACAAATTCTATCAAACATTTTCTGTACGTATAATATAAATGATTATTTGAATTAATCTACTTAGTTTTTACTTGATTGAATTTAGATTAATTCTTCGAAAAATTTTAAAAACCAATTTTCTCCCTCTTGGTTAGTTATCCTTAGACTATCATTTTGTACTGTATAATTCTGGCTAATAATGTACAATACAAAAGAAAATAAATAGTAATATTTTAATTATTTTCCTTCATGTACAATCCAATTCAACGTATTAAAAATGCCCTTAATGTGCTCTAAATTGGTGACCATTTGGTAAGATGAATGCATATACTACACAATATCCGTTGTCTTAAATTTCCGTGCAACCTAAAATTACGAATTTATTATGTATGAAATATACTCTTTGGAAAATTTTAAAAGATATTCATGTTCTTTGAATAATATGACGGATAAAATATTCGAAATATATATAAAAATTATCATGTATAGATTACAAAAAATCAAAATATGTGTATTAAACTTCCTTGCAACGATGGTAGTCAAGTACTCCGGTATATTTCTTAACTTTTTTGATTAATTAATTAATTAATTAAACGGTTAAACAGTTAGTAGCGAGTCCCTTGATGGCAATTTTAAAAGAAATATATGGCTAAAAAATTGTAGGTGTCATGAAATGTGTTGTTAAAATTAATTATTAACTTTAATTTTAATTAAAATAAGAATTTTAATCTTTATTAAACATNAAAGTGAAAGGTAGGGACGTTCTGCGCCAAAAAATGAAACGTAGGGACGTTTTCCACAAGACCCATCATAGGTAGGGACGTTTTGCGCCAATTACCCTTTTATTTAACGGTGGATTCTAACGGGAGTTGGACGGAAGGACGTTTTGCGCAAGAAAATGCAAAGGTAGGGACGTTCTGCACCAAGAAATCAAACGTAGGGACGTTTTCCACAAGGACTGTCATAGGTAGGGACGTTTTGCGCCAATAACCCTTCTTTTAGTAATGTCGAATGGGTTATTTTAATTTCACTAACGGTCATTGAAGTTCAAAAAAATCTTCAAATTGACCGGTAATTTTTTTAATTTTTTTTTTTTGGGGTGAAAAATTCAGTCAACAAAATTACACAATGGTCTATAATTAGTCACTAACGTCGTGTAAAGCCTAGTTGTATTGTTAAACATTCACGTTCACCAACACTTATCAAAGTGATCAATTGCTTCTATTAGACGACCTCTTGTTTTAACTTTATCATGACATTTATATTGTTTATTAATGATGAAATATATGATTAGGTTAAAATGAGCGCTTTGAAATTTTTTGATTGAAGATATGCAACTTCATGACATGGACATAATCGTCACTTAGAGCCCGTTTGATTCTCATTATTTTAGAACGTGAATGAAAAATATAGTCTTTATTGAGCCCCACACAAGAGAGAGAAATTTAAAATTGATTACTTGATGTGATGGATGACGATCATATTTTTCATTTTTATGGATGAAAAATGAGAAACAAACGGGCTCTATAAAAAATTAATGAGCATTGTCCAATAAGGAGTAGACGCCGTTAAAGTAGGACCAATTATGTAACATTATTTATTATTAGTGACACGTTCACCAACACTCGACAATTCGATCAATTCTTCTAGCCGACCCCGTATTTTTAGCTTTATCATGACCTTTTTACTGCATTAACGATGATAAATATGATTAGTTAAAAAAAGCTTTGTAATTTCATGACAAAGACATAATAATAATGGTCACTAATTGTCAAGATTAACAAATAGTTATCGAATCTGGAGTTGATGCCATTAAAGTAGGACCAATTATGTTATATTATTTAATTTTAGTGAAACGTTCATCGACACTTGTTAAAGCGACATATTTCTTTTAGGTGGTCTGGTGTTTAAGCTTTATTTTATCATCATTTTTTTACAACTTATTATTGAAGAAAACTATGATTAAGTTAAAAAACAAGCAATTAGAAAAATTTTGGTTGAAGATTACATTCATGACATGCCCATAATGATCATCAGTTAATGTCAACGATTATCGCTATTGAATTTGGAATTAATCCTCTAAGTAGTGATCATTTATATAAATTAACATTATTTCATTGTAGTGACACGTTCATCAACACTTGTTAAAGCGACCAGCACTTTCTAAATAGCCACGTATATTAGTTTTATCATGATCTTTTTATTGCTTATTAATGATGAAAATATGATTAGGTTAAAAAGGAGCGATTTGGATTTTTTTTCTTGTTGAAGATGTATAACTTCATGATATTGATACAATGATCGTCATTTAAAGTCAATGATTAAATAATTGTTGTCAAATATGGAATTGATATCGCTAAAGTAGGACAAATCATGTGACATTATTTAATATTACCGACACGTTATCAACAGTTGTTAAAGCAATCAATTCCTTCTAGCTGATTTCGTGTTTTAACTTTATCATGGTCTTTTTATTTCTTGTTAATGATGAAAAATATGATTAGGTTAAAATGAGCGATTTGAATATTTTTTTGTTGAAGATGTGTAACTTCATGACATCGATATAATGATCATCACTTAGTGTCAAGGATTAACGAGTCGTCGAGTTGATGTCGCTATAGTAATCAATTATGTAATATTATTTAATTTTAGTGACTAAATTTGTCACAATAGTACTTTTAAGACCAATTTACAATTTCACTTAAACATCAGTGGGCTTTTGTGAAAATAAAATTCTATTATCCCCTAAATAGTCCCAAGTATTGCAAGAAGAATGACAGATTTGCGTTAATGGCGGATTCAGTCAACAGCTAGACTTCACGCAAGAGTTGCTCTTTTTGAGGTAGAATTCGCTAATTTTCAGTTCATCTGAATTTGATCTACTGATTAGATACGTTCATATTTCAGTCAATGGTGAGTAAATCTTTTAGTCCCGCTTTATTCGCTATTTTGTATTGCAATTAGGGTTGAAGCGGTGCCATCTATTCACCGCTTATTCTCTTCCTGTTAAGATGATGGAATTTTGAAATTTTAATACTTTATGTTGAACCAAGGATTGGACGATTAATAATATTTGGGATTAGGGTTGAGGACTTAGTTTTGGTTGGCGAAGAATGGCGGTTGAGGGATCAAACTTATTGGTTTATAATTAGCTCCTTTTCTTTGAAAAAAATTACGAATTCAATTTAAAATGTCACCAAGTGTCTGATTAATCAAAGCTCCTTTCTTTTGCCGGATTTCTGGAACTATAGGCTTATGTATTGCAGAGTTTTTACTGGAGCGTATATGTCTGTTGGATAATTCAAAAAGAGAAATGACAGAAAAAAATGAAAAAAATATTTGAACTCACATTTGCATGGTGTCTTCTCAATTTGAGAATTGTCTGTTAGTTTTGGCTTTGGGGACACTTTGATGTTGCATTGCGTTATAGGAATACAAGCTTGATTATTCAGGTTAATGCTATCTTTTGCAAGAGGTAAAATTTCATTTTGATGGACTTCAATAATATGGCAATAGAGGTTTATTTATGAAATTAAGGGGTTAGGTTTCTGGAGAAAAACCTGGAGCAATTTTAGGAGAACCGGTAGCTATATCTATTTTCAATGTTACTAGAATTTTCTTGAAGGCGCAATCACCTCGGCTTCAGGAATCAGAAAACGGGTATAATCTCCTCTATGTTTTCCCTTGTCCTTGCAGAAGTACCTTCTTGATTTTTAGTTATCTAATGGTAAAAAAAAAACTAATATTTGAAAATTCATGTCAATGCATTCATATCTGTAGATGGACATCCCCCTCCCCTCCACTACCTCCAGAAAAAAGTAAAAACTTTCATGTTCTTTATCTCTTGAAAGCTGTGTCTAAAATATTCATTTATTTTCTTTTTTTTTGCAGTGCATTTTGCTCCTGATCCTTATCTCTCTTATTGGTGTTTCCGTGTCATGAGCTGCGACTGAGTTTTTTTAGTTTTACTGGCAATGATTCTCAAGTTTTACATATATGTATTGTGTAAATGTCAATAAACTTGTTTTCAAGCAAAGTTGTTGTTCTTCTGTACTAAGGATTGTACTGCTCCTCTATGGCTTTCTCAAGTTACTAATAGCATTGTGGCGTCACCAGTTGTTTCCATCGAAGTTGAATAGGAGGGAAAAGAAATTCAATAATATCAAAATGGAACAATCAAAAAGTCGTAATTTTGTGCTATATAACCCCCCAGATCATGGTAACGAAGACTATGCTCCTGAATCTCAAGTGTTCCGGGTGGATCCTTTTGGTCATGCAAACGCCAACTTCAGATCTCCTGAGGTTAATTTTTCTGAAGCTAAACCTGTACATAACTACTCTATTCAGACAGGTGAGGAATTTGCTCTTGAATTTATGCTTGACCGGGTTAATCCCAAGAAACCTAATGCTCCAAATATTTCTGCTGATCCGAGTCATGCACCTCGTTACTTAGAACTCAGAGGCTTTTTAGGTATCAGTCATACTGGCTCTGAGAGCGGTTCAGATATCTCAAAGATTTCTATAGCAGAAAAAGGTTCCAAAGAGTTCGAAAGGAAGAACTCGTCTTTGCATGAAGACAGAAGTAACTATGGTTCTGTACGTTCTATGCAGTCCGTACCACGAAATTCGTCTGATTGGACGCTTATGTATACCTCATCTGGAGCTTCAGATAGCTCATCAACAAAGCTCAAGATCCTCTGCAGCTTTGGTGGTCAAATCCTACCTCGGCCAAGTGATGGAAAGCTCAGGTACGTTGGAGGTGAAACGCGCATGATCCGCATAAGCAAGGACATTACATGGCAAGAACTGTGGCAGAAAACAACCACAATTTATGACGAGACGCATACTATAAAATATCAGCTTCCTGGGGAGGAGCTCGATGCTTTAGTTTCAGTGTCAAGTGACGATGATTTACTGAATATGATGGAGGAGTGCAATGTACTAGAAGATGGGGAGGGTTCCAAAAAACTTCGGATGTTCCTGTTTTCCTCTAGTGATTTGGATGATGCTCAATTCACCCTAGCTAATTCTGATGGTGATTCTGAGATTAAATATGTAGTTGCAGTCAATGGCATGGACTTGGGGTTGAGAAAAGGCTCTGCACAACATGGTCTAGCGAACTCTTATGGAAACAATTTGAATGAGTTAGATGCACAGAATATCGAGAGTGCCACAAATAAAGCTGCAAATGAATTCGTTGGGGTTAGTACCTCAAATTCGGCTGGCCTCGCAGTCTCGTCATCGGTGAACATATCCTCTCAATCTATTCTACCTGGTTCATCAAAAATTTATGAAACTGATATGCACTTTGATCAGGGTCAGATAGCACACCAGGATGATCACAAGCAACAACCTCTCCAATATGGATACAATTTGCATCCTCCATATTTCTCACCTTCTGAATGTTCTGTTCCACAGTCTTCTTATGGGCTTATGGCTCAAAAGAAAGATCTTGAAGGGCAGAAATTGAATGGTTTCGCTGTGCAGGGTACAAAAGAACAGGAAAAGGAGGCAAAACTTAAAGTTGATGGCTTAATACGACCAGAAAGTGGGAATGAAAGTAATCAAATGTTCACTGAGCACCTTGTTCCGTCTCAGGCATACAATGGTAACATAAACGCTGGTTTTCCTGTGGAAGAATCATCAGTTTTGGTCCACAAACTGGACAGAGAATCTTCTGCAAAGACTTTGAAAAATGACATTCCCCAGGAACCTATGAAGTTCTCAAAACCTCATGATGCTATCAATTCCTCCTGTGTGCCTATATGTAGTGGCAATGACTATGATACTTGCAGCGAGGCTTTAGTTCCTGAGTCCATCAAGTCTGAGCCTGATCCTGATTTGAGCTACTTCGAACCTTCTATTCCTCAGAGGGTCTTTTATTCTGAGCGAATTCCCCGAGAGCAGGGAGAGCTGCTTAGCAGAATATCAAAGTCAGATGATTCACACTCTTCTCAGTTTCTCGTAAATCATTCACGTTCTGAGATTGCCCAGCAGGATTTTATTAATGGGTCTGATGAAAAAGAGCAAAATATAAATCCGGATATCCTGACTGAGCAGTCAATTTCTACCGAAAGGCCTTTTCCTGTGGATACTGCAACCCACGATAATTTACATGTGAAAGCTCAAAAGTTGAAACAGGTGGACTCCATGGATGTTAATCCCAAGCATGAAAATCAGTTTCTCTTGACTGAAGCAAAAGAAGGTTTGAAGCTGCCAGCTGTGAGTCACGTGGATTCAACAAAATATTATGAAGATCCAACAAATAGTCTTCCTCAAATTCATTGGGTTGAAAAGGCCAGCAGTGAGTCCTTGGCTGATAACGCCCATGAGCACCCAGAACCTTCTGCTTGGACAGGGACTCATGACGGACCCTCCACTGGAGTTCCCCAAAATGAGCAGGGGTTTGTTATTGACATTAACGACCGATTCCCTCTCGATCTTCTTTCTGATATATTCTCAAAAGCTACAGTGTCTGATAGTTCATCAAATATTGGTCAACTGCAGAAAGATGGTGCAGGTTTAAGTGTAAACATAGAAAACCACGAACCTCAACACTGGTCCTTCTTCCAGAGATTGGCAGGCGATGAGTTTTCAAGAAGGGATATTTCTCTTATGGATCAAGACCATATTGGGTTTTCATCTGGACTTCCAAAAGTTGAAGAAGGGGCTCCTTATGAATTTGCACCACTGACGAAAGATGGACCAAGTCAAAGCGAATTGCAGGATGCCTTTGGTGAAGATGATCACAAAATCGTCCCTGGTGGTGAAGGATCTGCCTCTGTAGTCACAGATTCCAATTATAGAACTTCCCAAGTGAAAGCTAGTGAAGGCACGCAGTACGATGATTTAATGGATAACACAAGAGTTCGGGACTCGGAGTATGAGGTATTTTTGTTCTTTAATAATTAAGAGTAAAGGACTCTCAGAGGTATCTTTAGTAATTAAGACTAGGAGTCATTTATTGTCAGACTCTTTTTAATGGAACGTGTTCTAATTTTGACTATGATTTTAGGATGGGATTGCAAGTATTGGCTTACCTCCTCTGGATCCTTCATTGGTAGATTTTGATATAAACGCATTGCAGGTATGTTTGCACCTTAAAATGCTTAGCCCCCATTTGGTTTAGTTAAAATTTAAATTTTTAGTAGATCTTAATAAAAGTGATGAAATATGTGGTTGAAAAGTTAATAAAAATTGTGGGTCCTGAAATGTGTGGTTGAAAATTAGTTTGAGGAAAAATGAGTTTTAGAAAATGGGTGCCAAACATGAGCTTAATTTCTTTTCTATGTTTGATTGTTCTGTTCAATGAAATTGTTTGTTGGCACAAGGTACGGCATGGTTTTTCTCTGTTTCAGTTACTAATGGTCCGGATTCAGTAGTAATCTGAGCTTTCTTTGTTCATCCTTCCAATTCAAAACTTACTTCACAGTTAAGGCGTATGATCAAATCGCTTTGGTTAGAGTCGTTAGCAGAAATAATGAAACAATTCTTTTGATACATTTGAGTCCTGGAACCCAAGCCTATGCCTTCCAAGTATAATCTTTTCAATTGATATAAGCAAAAAAATAGAGTTTTAAAGGTTGCCAGAATCGGTTAGTGATATGTGAAAGGAATCTGACTTGCTCTCATGCTCTAATACCACAGGTGAACCCTACCAACCACATGGTTTTGCCAAACTAAAAACTTGGCATTATTTTTCATTGGGTCAAATCAGTAGCCCAAGTTAATTGGTAAATAAGGTAGCATATATATACCTGTGACAACTATTTGCTGCCGCCAATGTTGAACTTGGGTTGGTCCATCCTCTTTGATATTCAGATTTTCTATTCAGATATTTTGTTATAATTGGAAATTCAGTTAACCAACCATTTGCTACTGTTCCATTGATTTTTTAAGGTTCTAAAAACATGATCTTGGTTGGAAGTGGCGACTTAATGACTGAAGAAATAGATTAACCACTTATAATTTATATGACCATTCATGATTGATATACAGATCATAAAGAACGAAGATTTGGAGGAATTGAGGGAACTTGGTTCTGGCACATTTGGGACAGTTTATCATGGAAAATGGAGAGGTTCAGATGTTGCTATCAAGCGAATAAAGAAAAGTTGTTTCACTGGTCGACAGTCAGAGCAAGAGAGATTGGTAATCTGTCCTTAGTTCCTACATGCTTGGTTTCATTTTTTCTTAATATAGACTTTGAACTACATGTGTGGTGTTACTGGATATGTTTCCTACAATCGAACACTTAAGATTGTGCACATTGAAAGTAGTTGTATAGCCCCATTGATAGACCTCCATATATGAGCTAATTGATATTGCATTTGGGTTAATGCGGCTTCAGACTATAGAATTCTGGAGGGAAGCTGAAATTCTCTCGAAGCTTCACCACCCAAATGTAGTTGCATTTTATGGTGTAGTACAAGACGGACCAGGGGGAACAATGGCAACTGTGACTGAGTATATGGTTGATGGTTCTTTGAGGCATGTTTTACTTCGGAAGGATAGGTACTACTTTCATGTGTGGCTCTTCAGATTTGATTTTAGTTCCATTTTGTTATCACCGCGTGACTGCCTACTAAGTTCTTTTCTTTTTGTTGTAAACCAAACTTTCAATATAAATTAACCTGGGATTGTACCCATTTGTTTCTCCTTCACACTACCTTCTCCAACTCTATAATATTCCTCTTTGTTTTTAATATGATATTGCAGGCATCTTGATCGCCGTAAACGGCTTATGATTGCCATGGATGCTGCTTTTGGGATGGAATATCTGCATTCGAAGAATATTGTTCACTTTGATCTGAAATGTGACAATTTGCTGGTTAATTTGAAAGATCCTTCACGACCTATATGCAAGGTTATCTTGATGGGATCATGCTCTGCCACCTTTATTAATACATGTGGTAGCTTTATTTTTATTGTGATGGGAGTCAAGTAAAATGCA